GACAACTGACAAGACTAGCCAAATGTAACTCAAAAGTGCAGGGGATTTTTGAAAAAAGAAATTGTGTTGTTTTTCCCTCTAAAAAAAGATTGAGAGTTAGTATTGGCATTCAACAGTTCTAAAGCAGTGGGTCCTTTTATTTTGTTACCATTCAAAGGCCTAAGTTGTAATTCCACAAATATGACATTTCTTCAGAACCACATATGGAATATGTGAATACACTGAAATCTACTTCTCTGCATAAAATCATTATTAAGAATTATAAGAAAGGTCTATAAAGATTGACATTAATACATTTAGGTGACCAACAATACGTCCTAGTCAAGGTGAGCTAAAACCATTTGACCCTCATTTTGTTGAATTATGTATGATTATGTGGGAAGATCTTAACATCTAGAATGCGCCAAGCAATCCTACCAAGTTTCCAACCTATCACAAGAATCAATGTTATGTTTATTTAGGTTTAAACAATACCATATTAAAATTTTGACTAATCAATCAACCTGAATTATCAAAATTAAAGAGGCAATTCAATGCCACTTAATAACACAGATGTTCTGATAATACTGGCATCAAATTGACTAAAAATAGCATAACCCGGCCATTATCAAGATAAAAATGTACCCATACGTAGTTCCAAAGGGGGATAACTCTTGTTTTGAGAATATAATTAGGTTGGTATATCCTTTTCTTACTCCAGAGGGAGTCAGAAAAGCAGGTATAAATATTTTGTTTTAACTCAACAAGATAATCTGTTTACAAGAAACTGTTAAAAACCTCCACTAAGTTTTTCATTAATTTCATAAAAATTTTACCTACAAAGAAATCTTCCAAGGTGCAAATATGAAAACAAAATATTATTTCTTAGCACATTTAAATGATAGGGAAATCAGCCAGACTGACAAAGAGTTGAAGGAAGTGAAAATTTAGTTTTTAAAAACTGTCTGAAGATTTTATCCCCAAACATAACCTATCTTTAAAGAACAGGTGTAACAAAAAAGAAAAAAAAAATTTTTTTTCAAGCTTTGTTGTCAAGAGTAATAATTTCTACTCTTTTTTTTTTATTATTAATATTGTCTCATTATGAGACTAAATTTCAAAACATTAGCAACGAGTCCAGCATTAGAGTAAAATCATTTTTAGATTCAGTATATTACCTGCAAGGTCCCAAACAGTGCATTTTTTTTTAATTCTAAATGCAAAATTTAGTGCCTCGATCTTTCAGTTCTTATAGCCAATTATTTGTGCACCATAACATGCAAGTTGTTAAAATATGTCTGCTAAAATAACAACATACTGAGTACCAGCTTAAGAAAAAGAAAACTTTTAAAAATAATTTTAAAATTTTTGAGTAATAAATTATTATTAAGTTTTTTTTTCAGAAGTACTCATTTATATAAGCTGGGGTCATTTTCTAGTGAGTAAACAATAAATTAAATAATCTACAGGAAATTTCATGGCTTTATTTTGTTCTACATTTACAAAGGAGAAAATCCCCTTTAAAGATTTACCAAAGATCCATACATTGAAAAGAGAATTAACCCAGATATTATTTATTTCTCTGTCCTTCCAATCTTAAGCGAATTAAAATCACCCTGTGATCCTGTACAATAAATTTAAATTCATTTCGAGTCACCAACAATAGACCAGTGACTTAAGAAACTTCTTATGCGGTAGAAGAAGATCGAAGTCTTGTGTGCTGTCTTTAGAGGCTAGCTAGAGTATGGAATACATTCCCTTTGATGATCGAAGCAAAAAGCCCTTTATAATTAATCTTACCACATCTATAGATATCTGGTTTTCCTTCTCTCTCTCTTTATTCCTTTGTCTTTCTACATTTGGCAATCGCATCAATTTTTGGTCAAACGGAGGCCAAAACCCTGGTTCAGCCATTGTGATGTTGGTTTTTTCCGCAACTGAATAAAAATCCCTATAACTTTCTCAATTTTTCTTCCATTTACATTTAATGCTCTGGTTCATGTCATCTCCTCATAAGTAACTGAAAGTGCTAAAACTAGTTCTCCATGGATATTCTATCTCTCATAAAAAGTCTTTTTCCCCCCTGACTTCGGAAGTACACTATAGAGGATAGACATCAAATAGCTGTCTCCCTCCTCATATGGAATATAACCATAGATTGTTCTGTATATCCTAAAAGTCCCAATGGTGATATAAACAATATCTTAGCTCATTCAGAATGTAAGACTTTAATTCCTTTCACTGTTCAATCTGAATCAACATTACATTCATTGCACTGAGGAACACAAACACTGAGTAAAGGCTATAGTCATTATAAGAATAAGTCAGTAATAATATTCATATCAATATATCCAAAATTTAAATGAACATCTAATATATCAGATTGTCCACTTTCTCTTTTAAAAACTGTAATCCATTGAATCAACTAGCTGGATATTCTCAATTTTATTACACTGTGCCTTTGATTTCTCCTCGGTTACAATTCCATTTGATTATTCATAACAGCCATTAAGACTGTAATTCTTTCTGAGCCTATAAACTTATCTAAACAATCGTGAAGAAGAATTTAAAAGTTGAAGGAAAAACAAAACTGATATTAAAAAACTGAAACAGTCTGTACTCCCTTAGTAAAGGTAACACGGCCTGGACTAATATTATAAGATTGAGACATATAGATACACACATCAATCTCAGTATGGCTAATTGCTCCAATATATTTTTTTTAAGTGTTCAGGCTCTATATCAACTTGGAGACAAAAAACATGGGACACAAAAGATTAAATTGCACCTATAGTGATGGTGTATGAAAAGAGGACAATTGACTTGAAGCATTAAAATATATCAGATCTGCTGATCTCTTTAACAAATTCACCATGTGTAGAAGTGATGAATGCTATCTCAAAAACAATCACAACACAATGGCCCAATACACATTAGAGTTTTAATCATTCAATCAATTAATTCTGTGCTAGATCCAACATTTTTTATACTCATTGTGTCTTCAATTGCATTGAAAAAGAATAAGTGTGCCTGACCATCAATATTGAGAAACAGAAGTGCAAAGGACCCATGTTTGAAAAACAAAACAAACCAAGCTAAGTCACATCTGCCACAAAGAGAATTGTTACAGAGCCTGTTAACCAAATGATATTAACTCAAATTATGACAAAAGGTATAAAACAAGTCTTATAGAGCTTTTTCTCCACTATTAGGGTACATGACCTGTGTGTAACAGTGCATCTGCATACAATTGATCATACCAGGTTTATGCCATAAATCTTAAGTCCTAAAAGAGAGAGAGAGAGGCATCAGAGAGAGAGAGAGAGAGAGAGAGAGAGAGAGAGAGAGAAATTTTGAACTTAAAACACAGTGGAACATAAACTGTAAACCAACTATTATTTGCGTCAACTTTTATTCGTGATTCGTCAGTTTGAAATCAATCTGCAATGATTAATTTTCGCGACTGAGGAAACATTCTTTACAAACACAAAGCAAAATAAATGGTCCGCAGCGATTAATATTCGCGAGTTAAAGTAGGTCGCAAAACTCACAGATATTTCTCACATGTGAATAAAAGTTGGTTTACAGTAGATCACACATTCCAAATATTTCATCATTCTACTATTCAATTATAAATAATGAGAAACATGTGACATTCATGTCAATCATAACCATTACAATAGCTTCTTTAAAACTTGATACATGTACTTCCTAATTCCAAATCTTTTTAGCACAAAAATATGTATGAAATGAAGTTGATTTAGTGCTCTTTTGTAAATGAAATACATTTAAAAGGGGGAAAAAAAATGCAAATCATGAAGTATACTTCTTCACCAAGACTTGATAGATGATCAATATCTGCTAATTATTCAAATAATGCTTCACAAAACTAAGGATTCATTACACTGACTTATACATCAACTATGAAGTCACTGTCAGCTGTAATTTGGATTTCTAGTTACTAAGCATCATATAAGGGAGATAACTTACAATATTCATGAAACTGTAAATTTACAAAGAAAAAAGTTTTAAGGGGAAATCAATGAGAGTTCAGAGAGGAATATTTACATATTTCATTACTCCATCTTTTTTTATGATCTACAAACGATCTACAAATCATCCAATATTGAAATACCACACTAAAAGCTTCTTATTTTAGTGTATCATTAAAGCTGTTTGAAGTTCTGCAACAATGATATTAAAAATGTGCAGCTTAGAACAGCCTAATTAACAAGCACTTAAATACCAATGCACTTTGCCAAATTTGTATGCACTGGTGGTTCAAAGAAGTTCATTATTGGATATTTAATTTTAGGCAAACAGCATTATTGCACATTATATACAGAGTAAATGGAAATAATATTTATTCAGGCTGTAGACAAGCATAGATGGTACATGCAATCCAATTGTTCTGTTTGGTCTTCCACATAGCCTTATATTATTTGACAACTTTACAAACACATTCAATACACTTAGAAATAAAACCTAAACGTGCTGTTCTTATATCATTGTCATTAAGTAATATCAGCATAGCATTAAACAACTTAACAAGTTTTCTGTAATACTAAAAGTATTGAAAATTCATTTCAATAATTAAATTTATAATTATTATTTTACATTCATGTTGTTGAGTTACTTGTTCAAAACCTATTTTACTTCACTAGTCCTACAGTTATAATTATCAAGAAGCAATAGTGGATGTCTTAGTGAGTAAAATTAAAGAACACGACTAACCTGCTTCCGATGTGAAATGTTTTCATGCATTATCCTTCAATACGCCGACAGAATCAGAGAGTGATTGGTAGCATCCTACCATCACCAATATCCAATGTATACAGAGTTACGAGCTGACATTTAGCAGCCAGAGGATATTAATATACTGAGAAGATTATCAGCTTTCAGTTTCCTTACAAAACAGCTTACACAAAACAATGGGGGTATTTTAATGTTATATCACAATTTAAATTCACCTATTCATTAGACCCCTTCCATGTGCTGGACAGTTAATACTTTTTAATTCTGCTGGTTTTGAAATGTCTATAATACTGTTCAATAATTGTCAGGATTAGTTGATGTGAAATCTATTTTCTCCCCATTAGTTTGACTGATGACATGTGAATATGAAGGATGATGTTTATGACACCTCTTTATTGGGGATTCATTTTCTCTAGATTCTGGGATCAACAAATCACCATTAACTGACCACTTAATATCATATTACCTTCAATATGCCACAGTGACTTAATTAATCTACTGTACACATTCCTTATAGGGTTATGTACCTTGGTATCCAACAGCAACAGATAGTACCTAATTAAATATTCATGCCTTCAATAGTAACAATGGAAAGTCCCAAAGTCATTTATTAATTAATTTAAAGCTGAAGCTTCTATCCCTTTCATTTGTGTGTTTGTTACCAATCTCAGTTTCTTAAGTATTTTGGCATTTATTCAGACATATATGACATAATTGGTCTATACATATAATGACTTGAGAAAACTTTTTTTAGTGTGACTAGTAAATCTGTGACAATTGATAAATTTTGTAACCATTAAAAAACATGTCATATACCATTAACTTTTTCATGTTTCCAAAAATCAAAGATTTACATTTGAATCTGGTCAATGTGACCTTTTTAATCTGAAACTCCCACTCAATAAACCAATAATCCTTATATCCCAAAACATTTAGAAAACCATTTTACAAATCATTAAATAAAGGTTTCTTAGTACTTCTTTATTATGGTTTTCACAATAAACTAACAACATGCTATTGGTTGCCTGCTGAGCAAAATTTTAAGATATGATTTTTTAAAGTTACAGTTTGTTACAGTAACAGGAAGTTGCATGAAACAAGACAAAAACTATAGGCCCATGGGTCACAAAGCTAACCTGAATCACATTGCTCTTTCTTACAAATCGATATGAGGATAAATTCATTCACTATATGTGGCTATATCCACAATTTCAACATTTTAAATTACAGAGTACTGAATCTTGACTGTATATTTCCAAACTGTAACCTTGTTGTTCTTGTAGAATTCTGTATGTCTGTGTAGAATACAAACTCCCTATTGTGATCCCTCCACAACTCCTGGAAACCATGATTTGAACAAAACTTAATCTACACATAGGGATTCTATCATTGAAGGGTTATTTTAAATAGATTTTTCGGATATATTAAGCCTAACATTTTTCTTCTACTGTAGTCCAAATCAAGTACTGAGAAACTGACTAAAATGAATTTGCTTGCACTTCAATTTGAGAAATTATGATCCCATTAATAATAATATGAAAATCCTTGAAAAGCAGCTCAAAGGTCAACATTTTTGATCAGTAACCATAACAGAGGTCTTATGACAAGCAAGATGGATAGACAGCCAGTCTATCAGCAATCACTGATTGCAGTAATTGGCCAAATGACAAAGATTAACCTCTTTAGATGCAAATGAACATATTCAGCAATTGATAAAAATATATGTTCTGACTGAAGAGGATCCTTTACCACGAAATTGTTTACAATTATGCTTTTTAGAGAAGGGGGGGGGGGGAGAGAGCTGCAGTAAATTTTAGGGGTACGTAAAGCAAATTTAATGAATGCTTTTAAGAAAGTGAAAATTAGAAGAAATAAAATTGTTAACCTCAGCTATTATATGTTTGCATACTTACGTTGAGAGCTAGGACTTGATGAACAAGTATAACTTTGCCAGTAACCTGTGTAGTATTTCCCATCACATGGTATATTCACCCCCTCCTTAATATCACCATAAGGCATATGACTCCTACATAGTCTATATGTATCCTTCTACCTCTACAGTTAATATCAGATTCCCATTTTGTTCTCAAATGAATTACCGGGTAAAATTTTTCCCAATTTAATGTCTCCCTATGTCCTGTTTTTTGTCTATCACACTGTAGTTTTACTAAAGAAAATTTAAAACAAACAAAACAATATATAAATATCCCCAAGAGGCCATAAAAGACTAGTTTTCATTCATATCAGAAATAAAGTGCATAAAAGTACAAGTCCATGAACATTATGTAATTTTTATGGTCATTATTTCAACAAAGTTCAGGCAGTGCTCTTCCAAAAAATGTAGACCCAAGATTTTTTTTTCCAAAACACCTTAATATCCCAAAGTACACCCAAATATCATTTTAAAGGTGCAAAGAAACTAAACAATAGAAATTTCCCTTGTTTAATATTCCTCTTTCAGCCAATTAACTAAAGCACAGACATGAACATTTTGGATTTTAAATTCAATAAGGCAAACTCATGCATGAAAGAGATACATTAGGAAAATTGACTATGACATGTAAGCACTTTCACCACAATTAACACTTGCAATTCTCTCCTTGATAGAACTTTAAGTATTCTGTGGTGTGTTAGAAATCCTCTGTAGTAAGCTACAGTTAAACTAGTACATGCGGTTCAGTAGCTCTTAGTGAGCATGTACTCTTGTAATGGTGTACCTGAAAGACTTCATTCCTTCATAAAACATTAACACTCTGTAAAATTCATTCAGTTCTTTAGTCCCTTTTATCTGTGCGACTGTTGTCAAAATTATATACTTTTCACATTTTCATCTTCTTCTCTGCAAAGTCATATTTATATTGAAGCATCCCCATGCTGTGCGGATTCAAGTTTGTTTCATCATGACCCTCTGGGGCTAAGATTGTGGCCACAACATGGGGTAAAATTTTCTATGTTCCTGTTTAAGGACAAAATAAATGGGTATATGACCTAAAAACTGCAGATGGAGAATAAAAGAAAGATTAACCTTGACCTTTCTCCATTTGGCCTTTAAATCATTAAGGATCTTTCTTCAATTTTAGATCCTTTGACTTTTTCATCTTAAAATCAATTGGGTCTTTTTTTACGTTATGGAGTTATAATATAAAACATAACTAAAAGTTATTTCTGGAAACAATTTTATGTGAAAATATTAATTTTGACCTTGACCTTTCAACTTCAAAATCAAAGGGGTCTTCTTTGAGCTATAGGGAATTATTTTATAAATTTTTTTTATAAACTCAGAGAACTAAAGTTAACATCTGGAAACCTTTCTATACAATATAAGAATGTATGACCTTGACCCTTTGTCTTCAAAATTGATAGGGGTCTTCTCTACATATTAAGGATTTAATATGCTGTGACCTTTGGGGTGAGTGCAGTTGTGTATAAATTATACTTAATACCTTTAGAGTATTTTACTCAAAATACTGCCTCTTCCAAACACAGGAGACATTTTGAATGTCTAGACTGTAATGTCACAGCTAGGATGTCAAATACTAGAATAAGATGCATTTCCATAATGAAAGCTGAAAAGTGCAAATTTTCAACAATGAACATTAAATCTACTATCTATCTGTTATATCCATTTAATCATGATGAGTTTCTATTTGGTGAACTTTTGTTTTTACCAAAAGCAGGTAGTTAGCAGTGAGATGCATTTGTGTTGCACTGTGGGTCTTGAGGTTACTGTGGAAAAAATCATTTGGATTAATGTGCACAGTCTGAATTTTGTCTTAATTCACCAAGGTGTTAGGTTAAGAGCTTGCAGTGTCAAGCAGTGTTTTAGTGTTTTGTGCTGCTCACTGATATAAAATGTCTTTGCAAAATCTTAAAGAGAACAAAAGATATTCTCTTGAAAGCATTTTATGCAACAGATGAATTTCTGACTTTGACCTTTTGGTTATATTTTCATTTATTGCAAAGGCAAAAGGACTTTTCAAGAAATTATCTAGTAATGGTATTGTTACACACACACATAATAACAGACAGACAGTTGGACGGGCAGATCCAAATTAATATCCCCTCGGCCTCTTTAAGTGAAAGAGGGGGATAAAAAATCTTCTGAAGAAAGCAGGGTTTCTCGTTTCAAATTTGGATAAAAATGGATACTGTAACATGTATGTTTTAAAATACATTTTCAACTACAAAATGCACAGGGATGCTTAGTCAGCAGTTAAAATTTCTAGGAAATTTACCAGTACATGGATCTCATGAATTCTTTAAAATGAGATGATTATATTTTTTAATTCATTATTTTTTGTAAAAACATGAAGAGGAATGCATTATTCATGTTATTGGGGAATGTGGATGATTTTAACTTATTAAAGGTCATATGAAACAATGCCCTGAGCATTTTGGGTTGTATACGGAAATGAGTTCATCTGAGCAACTTTAATAAGCCTGAAATTACATTTTGGATTTTTTATGCAAGTTAGCGGCAGCAGAGTCGATCAAAATTACTTGACTGCGAAAATGAACTTCAACTAGCGCGGCTTATTTCCCTTTGCTTATGACGTCAGTAAGACCCACTCGCTACATTCAGTACTAACATTTATACAACCGATCATGTCTTTTGCAGCGTAATTTTTAAGAAATATCATCACCTAGCTTGGCTAAAATATCGCATAAATATACAATGTTCAAACAAGATAGTATTTGTCTTTTAACATCCTATTGCATATTTGCAAGATTTTAGCATGTTTTATCTTTGTAATTTATTGTCGTCCTTCGACACTTCAATCTCGAGAGAGGGAGAGAGAGAGAGAAAAAACAGAGAGAGGGAGTCTGTACTAGAGTAAGTGAATATAGACGCTGTCAAATAATTTACAATTGAATAAATTTCTAACACAAGAATATTGATGATTTGTTTTCTGATTAAAATTTATAAGTAAAGCTGAATTCGATTAAATTGACCGCGGTGTGTGAAAGTGAAACTAAACCTGCAAATAAATTATTTCATTTATTCATGGGAAATGAAATGATTCTATCGCTTTCTCGCTTTCCCCCTCTCTCAATTGCTTTCCCTTTTCTCTCTTTGGCTTTCCCTGTCTCGATGACTCTCTCTCTCTCTTCCCGTATATTTTTCTTACCAAAAAGTCAGTACATGTATACACATAACAATATTTAATATCGTAATAATTTTTAAAAAGTCAGACATCAAACACAATTCTATCTATGCAATTCTACTTTTCTGTGTGAATATATTTACAGACCGAATTGTTTAAAGAGCA